ATCTCTGAATACAATTTAGCTGGACTTTAGAATAGGAAATCATCCACGATAATATGAAAGAACAAATTTTTCGAAGTGTAGGCTTTCATTCCTTCGAAAATTCAAATTAGGCCAATATCAAGAACCCTCTATACGCAAGTCAGCAATGCCTTAATAAATAATAATAAATAATTGAACTGAAAAAAGTTTCTGATTATTCTTTACAAATGGAGAGAAAAAATATTTGAATATGCCTGCGTCATTTTTGAACTTTTTTACACTGGTACCGTAAAACTGTGCATGGTGCCATTTAAAATGTAAATAATATAACTTAAATAAAATGCATTTATTATGAAAATGAGTAAATGGAATGAGATCATAGGCACAGGATTACACATATGTGGATGGAAAAAGTAACGTTACTAACGACACTGGCACTAAAGACGGGGAAGGATGTAACGATATCGGCCGTTTATTAGGATGACGGCATAAAACTCACATTTCACCCATCAGATTGAACCTGTAGGGCATGCCGATCTACCGTCATTGCGGCTGCTTGGCATAATTCGGCTCATAAGTTCTCAGATCTTTGACCTAGATTCGTTCATACCTTTTTTATATTATTAATTACAACATACATTTAAAGCAAATATAGAATACATTTAAAAGACTGAGTGTAACGTACTAGCGATATTTACGGCCACAGCATAGCTTTGAGCAGACGAAGCACCATGCAAGAATCCGAAACATTCGTAATAACCAGCGTCAGAACTCTGTATATCTTTGATGACTAACGAATTGTTACTATTTAACGAAGCGATCCTAAACGAATGAAAAAAATAAACGAAATAAGAAACAAATGTCAAAATCATGATAGTCAAAACAGATAAGCTCTAACTGAAGTCGAAGCGAAGATTGGCCGAAACATTAGCTGTGTGAATAATAAGCATTCCTCACGCCAGCTTCGTTGCCAACATTCGTTGCATACTCACTCCTGTGATACCCGACACATTAATGTTATCCAAACCTGCAAACTAATTTCAATAACCGTTTAAACAACATGCTACAGTGTTAGGATTCAACATGAGTAAGTTTCAAGCCCATAGATTTTGGTAGGCATGAGTTGGAAATTCCATTTCGGTACAACAGCAATAGCAATGGCGAACAGCTGCGCACCTTTCGTTTTCTGAGGCACGAGGATAGTACGCGTCATGGCCAGGTCTCTTCCAACGGACTTCAGAGGCATCTTCAAATGCGCAATCCAAAGACACCGTCGAGCCGAGCCGAACAACCTTATTGCTGGACAGAAGTTTGATCTTTGGCAAACTGCCTGAAAGCATAATAGTGGTGAAAAGAGTTCGAGCAAAACCTCGAAGATACCTGGAATACTGAGGATGAAATTCGATTGACTGCGCACCGTGCCGGCAGCGTTTTCTGCCTCGCAACTGTACACGCCGTTGTCTTCGATGGACACATCTTTAACGACCAACCGGCGCTGCCTTGGGATCACGCGATCGGTCTTCTTCAGTCGATTGGCGTTGTGGAACCACCGATACAAAGGCTCGTCGAAGCCGTCGGCCACGCAATGCAACTCGATGTCTGTAACGTTTCCTGACTCCAACACTTCAAAGCTCGGCGACATCACCTCTACCGAGGCATTTTGGCTGATCCCTGGAAGCAAGCAGTGATTAGCCTGAGAACAAGTAAAGAACAAAATCTTAATAATGAAAGTAAATAAACCTGGTGGCTCAAAAACACCAAAAAACTTCGATTAACACTGTATTTGAATGGAGCAGTTAACAACTACTGTTGAATCTTTGAACGCAGCATTTCCATATACCTTTGGTTCGATGTAATGATAAATTATTTCACATGGTGTCGAAGCCGTTGTTCAGATCTGATCACCAATACTGGGATGTGACCACTGTACGTAAATCGTTTCGCAGTGATATCTATCGTGAAAACGACGACCACCATTTCCATTTCCAATGTTATGACTACTGATAGTATATACAACACAAATGAGACCGCTAGGTCATCAAAATTTTTTAACCAGAATCCAAGTAAAACAGAAGAGCACTTAATGAACTACTGCTAGCCAACTTCTACTGTTTAGAAAAATCAAAAAGTTGAAACAACTTATTCTGTGTTTATGAAATGCTACAAATTGAGATTAAATTTCTGATCCATCGGCAGACAATATATCTGCCCAGAACGGTACCCTAATCCTACCGCTCTTGTTAGATACACTTGTTCATTTGAAATGCTATCATACTGTGTGCTGTCTCAGAAGTCCATAATCCCCTTCTCCAAGAGTTGCAGTTCCACTCCGCCAACTTAGTTCAAAACATTTTGGGGGTCATTTAATTAAATCAACGTTGACCATATCACGTAATATAGTTCAGTAACGGCAGTCATCGATGCAATCTGCCTAGTGTTACTATCTACAACAAAGCCTACGTGTAGAACGAAAAAGTACCACACATCGAAACGGGGGTAACGACTCTATAAGCAACACTGTTTTGCTACTGTTTCTCTTGAGGAGCGAGAAACGATGCCAAACACCATTCTTCTTTCGGTATGGCACTTTGAAGCTCCTGAAATGCAAGGTTTCAACTTCAAAGTTACTGGAAAGCAACATGGCAAGCCCTATGATACTTTATATACTACGATTCAGTAAGAATATCAGACAATCAACAATCACATGGTAGACTAAACCAACACTCACAACACGTTTTATGTTCACTTGTCCATATACGGAGATCGTATATCCTCCGCAACAGGTTAAAGGAAAAAGGGGCCAGAGATCAGCTGTTTACCAGTAGTATGAGTTATTAGGTTCTATTCGCCAGCATTCATCGATGGCTGATATGTCTTGATTTTGCGAAAAACATTACAGCGATTTTTTTGATCTCATCCGCAAAGTCAAAGGTCATGAACCAGTTATACAGAGAACCTTTTCTTCCAACTATGCCAAGTACGTCAAAATCGTGTTACTGGAGGTTTCACTGCATGAGGTTCCAATGTTACTGGCGATAATACAATGAAATTACGAACAAATTACTGAAACCTAAAGGTGTGTACGATTTAGATAAATTACAACGCTTGTTTACATTTAAATTTGAGATGCAGTGACCCGTAAGAAAATCTGTCGTCAACTAAGGCCGGTTCTGGAGCGTGGAAATGTATAACAACAACCTGTAAGGAAGGACAGGTATCAAACGAGGAACCGCGCGATGGCACATTAACGAGCAGTGAACGTCGTTCTGCTTTGACGATGGAGGCGGCAATCGTAAAGCTGTACAGAAACATCTGGCGACCAGCTGGAGCGTGAGCCATGCACAGCCCAAGGTCAAACTACCGGAGAGGCGGCGATTAGAAAGAGGTGAAAGAGAAAAGACCCCGGCGTGGCACCGCCGTGATCATCGTATTTTCTCGACAGCACACACTCTTAACGCGTAACGAGCACCGAACAGAGACATCAATCACTGCCCACGCCAGACAATGCCCTCCTCTGCATAGGGAGGACGAAGTATGAAACCGGTCGAGCATTTACGCTAACTAACGATGCCGGCAGCGACCAAAGTGATTTACGGGCAACATCGGATTACAACGTATCTCGCGCTTTCGATGACTACGATACCGTGCAGTAATGCAGAAGGACGTTTAACGGCCGGCCGAACTCTTCCTTCGTAAAGTTCTGTTGCTTATCGTTTCCGTGTTTGCAGCAGAAGTTAAAAGTCTCCGTTACACATACACACAGCTCGTCATAAATTCAACCTCTCGTTCCATGTCATGGAAACTGGGTAATGACGAAAATGAAGGATCACATGCCACGGAAAAAAAACAAAAGTGCGCATTCGTCTAACTTCAACGGATGATCAAAATTTATGACAAAAACCATGACCTGCTTAAATGAATACGCGTCTAAGACTTAGAAGG